ACTCGGACTGTTATTCTCATCTTCATTGCGATGTTCACAATGTTTCAGCCATTGTATGCTCCAGCCTTCTTCAGGTGATTAGAATTTTGAACTGAACCCTTTATTTCATCCACCAGGTTAGATTGTTCTAATTCTACATGCCATGCCTCTCCCAGATGCCTCAGTTATTTCCCTTTAACTCAACTCTCCAAGTTTTGGTTTACCATGACCTGGTATTGAACTCACAATTCTTGGGGTCTCGTCACTAGATTTAAACATGTCTCAGTGGATAAAGACTTTGGTTAGATACAGTGACTAGACCTAAAGAGTTGTGATTTCAATACCAGGCTACAGCAGTGGTGAACAAAAAAAAAGCTTGGAGAGTTGGGTTAAAGGGAAATAACTGAGACATCTGGAAGAGGTGTGGCATGTGGAACTAGAACAATCTACCCTGGTGGACGAAATAAAGGGTTCAGTTTGAAATTCCAATTGCCTGAAGAAGGCCGGAGCATACAAAGGCTGAAATGTTGTGAATATGGCAATGAAGATGAGAATAACAGTTTTTATGAAGTTCCAAATATTTACTCAAATCAGAATATCTGAAAAATAAAATATACTGCATGATAATCAGAATTTTATTAATTAAATTTTTTTTTCAGGCTCAGTCCGTGAAGTTAATGGAGCGTTCGATATTTAGTGCCAAGTACATTTTTGTTGAAAATCTTTACAAAAAGTAAGTAGTAAAATTAAAAAAAATTTAATTCAAATGTTAATATGTATTTTAAACATGTTTCTCATTCTAGGTAAATTTTTTCTATAATTATTTTCTATAATTATTCTGTAAGTGCAAAGAAGGAAGTCCAGAATATTATGATAAATGATTTCAGACCACTATTGCTGTAACTGTGGCTTTCATCCGATGATGACCCATAGTTTAGTGGTGAATCTATCTATCTATCTATCTATCTATCTATCTATCTATCTGTGTGTGTATATATATATATATATATATATATATATATATATATATCTCAGTAAATTGCTGATACCCCTGAAGAGTGGACGGACAGGTCTGCCTATGAAACTCTGGAGTCAGGAAGCTGAAGGTAACAGCAATTAACTAAATGACAAGCCTTTACTACATTAATTAATATATATATATATATATATATATATATATATATATATATTATATGATATATTTGGTTGATTGAATTTGTAACCCTGGTTTTACACTTTGCAATCGTCTGACAATCGCAAAAGCGTGAAACCCAGGGTCACAAACTCACATCAATTCAGCCAAATATGTTAGATCTATCTCTGATATTGAGCACTTTCTAATAAGTACCATATATAATATATAAATAATTATATATATATATATATATATATATATATATATATATATATATATATATATATATATATATATATTTTTATTTATATTTATATACACACACTTTTCACGTATATATATATATATATATATATATATACTGTCTATTTAGAAAGCAAATGTTCTTTAAGGCAAAATTAAAAACAACAGATATTATGTGTCAATTTTAATGATCAAACTTTTCAAAATTACAAATAATATACCAGACCAATGTTGTGTTTGTATATAGTTGCCCACCCAGAATGTTTCTGTGTAAATAAAAATGACAAATCATCTTACATAGGATATACCATATATATCTTATCATTAATAAGCAGCATAAGGCTCATAGTAACATGAGATAGCTACTCACAAACAATACCAAAATACTAGCAAAATCAAATAGTAAAAACCAGACTTATGATCCTAGAAGCAATACTCGTGCAACAAAAACAACCATCAATAAATAAAAACAAGTCTAACTTAATTAAAAAAAACACAAGTCAGACCTCGCTTACATCACAGTACTCACTAGTTCTACGAAACTCACCAGTTGTCTCTACCTACCCTGATGATGACTAAAAGTCAAAAGCTTCGACCATATTTTTTTTACTTTTCCTCTGAAATGAACTTTAAACAATTTCTGACAAACTTCTGTTAATTTCTTATAATTTTTATGATTTATTGATGTGCATATAATGTTGGAACACACTATACTTATGACTAAAACTTATGACAAATGTTTCTTGATATTTTTCTTATTCAATTACCAGTGGTATGATGAAAGATATCGAATATCACATACTGACAGAATGGTTTAACTGGATTGTCGACAATTTGGACGTAAATCTTGATTTGATTGGTGAGTTAAGCTTCTTTTTCATTTGGAATTTTAAAAAATCTATCTATATATAAAATTCTATGACTTCCATTTGTCCTTCTATTACACTATTTAAAATGGCCATACACTGACTGATTGAAAGCAAATTTTGGGGAGAAATACAAACAGGTAAAGTACAGTTGGTTTTACTAGGGTGTGTTGCTTAGTACAATAAGTTTTCATTAATTTTTTTGTAAAAATTTAAAATTTTATTATCTAACAAACAAAATAGTCCCACTATTTTAAAAACAATTTAATGATTAAAAAATAACAAATACTTATTTAATAAAAATACAATATTGTTTTTTTGCATATCTTTTCTTTAAGTTTAATATATACAAGAATTAAATTTCCAGTTTGCCTTGTGTTTGTAAGAACTATAAACAAATCTCAAGGCCAAATGCTTCAAAAAAGTTGGAATTTGGCTCCAGAAAGAAATATTTACACATGGCCAACTGTATGTTGCATGCTCAAGAGTAAGTAATCTCAAGAATTTATTCTTTACTGTTAAAAAAAAAAAAGTTTTTCTTAAAAATATTGTTTACCATGAAGTCCTCTAAAATTAAATTAAAGAAATTATAAAACCATAAAGTAGCATTTTCCAAACAAATCAGTTTATTCAAATTTCATCAATTGGTTTGTGGAATTGAACAAAATAGAGTTTGTAAATCTTGATAAAAAAATGTAAGCGATAACTTCAACAATACTAAATACTGTAATGATTCAAAAAATTCTAGTAAAAAAATTACAAATTGTATTACATATTTTTTATTGAATGTTGGTAGATGTTTCGAATTACTATTCTCTTCATCAGCAAGATTTAAGATCTAATGCCAAAGTAAAATATAGTCTTTTAATGGACACTAATTCAAAATTCTTTGAAAGAGAAGATAAGTCTTCTGATCATAGCAAAAAAAATAAGATAACAGGTATATATATTGGTTTACTACCATGTGTCTTTCTCACTGATATATTTGCCATCTTTCTCAACATTGTGCAATTTATTGTGTTGTGTGTGACAAAAGAAATAAAATAAAGAGAAGTAAAGGGAACAAAATAAAGACCAACTAAGTTTTATAGCAAACAAAAAAAGAGGCTTTCTTATTATTTTAAAGAAACGAAAAAAACAAAGGCGTACCAGCAAGTTAGAAATATGTCAAAAATAACTTCAGTTGGGAGTTGCTGGGTTTTTGTGGTATAGTTTACATGTCAGGTCAGCAAATGGTAGTAAACGGACTGCTCTGAAGCAGATTTCTACAACAATTGACTTTGCCAGTCAACTCACTTACTTTTGGTGCCAATGAACATATGAGAATACCTTCACTTAGTAAGGTCATCTGACCACATTAAAGAGTTCTTTGAAGACTTTTATCTAAATGACTCAGAACTTGGAGAAATCTTGATACTCACTTGTATAAACTTTATAATTGGAAGTAACCATCAGATGGGTAAAAATGAGAATATTAGTCTGACTGTAAATAGTGTAAATAACGATGACTCCTCTTCCTAGAAATTCAAACAAAAATAAATATAAGTGTTATATTTGTGTTAAGTGTGTTCACATCATGAGGTCACTAGTGTGGATGTTGTATGCCAGAGAGTAATTCGTTTATCAGAACTTTGAAATTAAATGAACTGACTCGAAGGTTTTAAAATAAATAATATATTTTTATTTATTTTCTTTAGAGTGATGAGTGAGTCCTTTGGTATTCAGTGTAGCAAAAAGTGTGCTAATAAGGTGGATATTGGTAGCAGTGTGGAGAAATGTCTGTTAGTAGTAGTTTGAAGTCAGATCATGATATGGATAATAGTAATCTTAGAAATGGGTCAGTGTCAATTTACTGTTTTTGTTAGCCTTAATCAGGGTAGAAATATTGTTAGCAAATAACCTCTTAACTGCTTCTTCACGCATGTCTGCGTTTCTCCAGCAGCATCTCTGTTTATAACTCTCTACATCTCTTTTGTTTCTAGCTCAGAGGTGTCAGTTTATATTCGTTTTGACCAGCTCTGAGACTTTGGCATGAACATTGGTTTTGGCTAACATCAAAAATCTCTTTGTGTCAGTTTTTTGATTGACCAAAATTATTTTATTTTGCGGCGTTCCTTTCTTTTTCATTTCTCTTATAATAGAAGTTATGTGTAGAGCCAACCTGTCTTTTGTTATTTTTCAATCACAAATATGTAGGCTTTGCTCATGCAAACTTCCAGCTTTTTTGGCCATGTTCAGTCTTCTTCCTCTTTTTATTTGAGGGGTGCCTTCTTATTAATTGAGAGAAGTATAGAAAGAGAAGTTTAGAGAGAGAAAGAAAGAGATAAGGTTTTTTTTAAGGAAAGTGCAAATGCCTTATTTTAATTTGAATTCTTTTTATTTTTTTTTCATATATTTTATTTTTATATTTTATTTTTTTATCTATACTAGAAGAGTAATTATTTTATTTGACTTTAATGCAGTATATCTTCGGACCAGTCCTGAGACCGTACTGCAAAGGATCCAAAAGCGAAATCGAAGAGAAGAAAGGAATATTTCTCTGGTAAGGAAAGTTTTCATTTTTATATCTATTGCTTAATATATTTGTGTGTACATGGATATGAGTTGTTGAAAAGTTCTCAATCAAACTAAGAAAGGATTTAAAAAAGAAAAGTTGATTGTTCTGTTACCACCTCTATTATTTTATTTTCTTCTTCTTCCTCCCATTTTTAACCTTTACCATGCTAATTTCTTACAAGAATTGTTCTCCCTACCACTGCATTTTTTTAGGGTGCAAAAACATGAACACCCACTGTTTTAAAATTTTTATAACTTTCTTTGTATTGTGCATATAGATTTTAATTTTTGTCCACTAATAAAAGAATGAATGATTAATATTTTGATGTAATGCATTACATTTTGCATGCATGTTTTAATGTTGAAAACAAAAAAAAAAATTGAAATGACAAAGAAAAAATACATTAAAAAATGCATAAATAATTCAACATACTTTAACTTTTATTACTCCTTTGGAGTTCTGGGGGTGCAATAAGAAGCAAAATTGCTAAGAAGGCTTTCATTTTGTCAAAGAAATGATGTATTTCCTCATGCTTGCATACGAGAAGATACTAGCATTTGTTTGCTCTTTTTTTTCAGCTGACTCATATTTATGTCTCGTTGACAAATAAAGTTATCATTTCATCATTTATAAATAGACAAAATAATTCACCTTCAGAAAGTCTATCTGGTATATTCATGGTCACCAGTAGTTTCAATAAAATTAGTCAGGCATGGTTGATAGTACCCACTGGTGGTCATCATCGCTTTCCTCCACGTCACTAGTGTTTATCATCTTCGACCACTTCACCATCAATATCTACTCAAATAAAGCCTTCAAAATCATCATCGGAGCCCTAATCAAAGAAAAACTCTTGAATAAAGGCTTTGTCGGATATTAATGCGGCCATTTTTGTTCACAAAAAAATCACGAAAAATTAACGTAGGCTTAATCAGTGTTACATGTAGAGTCTAGAAGAATTCAAAATGGCATTGGAAAACGGAAGTTTAACCTTGATCCAAAGCAGTAGTAAGCAATTTCCAGCTTAAAATACTGGAAATAACAGTTGACAAGTGTTTATTTATAGCAACCATCTCAAGGCAACAGAATGTGTCTAGAGTAGCAAAGGGAGAGAATTCTATGGTGACAATTGTCACCTGTAGCGTGGTAAAGGTTAATTTACGTACATTTCATATTGGTCACCATTTTGACCACTTCTTGTTTAGCCCTTTGTAATTATCAGAACCAGTATATTCAATAAACCACAGTATCCTACTATTTTTCAAATTTTTACCCCCAAGTGATAGCATCACTGGTAAATAACCTTTGTCTCTAAGCACTGGTCTCATTTAATATCATATTATTATTTGAACATTTGTTTAAGGTAGTCACATTTTACTGCTGTATTTAATCATATAGAATCCTTTCACCATGTGTTGACTTCTCACACTGTGTCATACTGTAACTTCATGTAACTTTCTTCCTTTACCTATTGAGACCCTTGGTCTCTAAGTTATGTTCAGCCTTCGGGGGGTCCCCTTTGTCATATTTCTTCTTTCCCTTCCTTTTTACGGTTTTATTTGTTCTGTTATTCTGACTAAACCCTTCTCAAGTCTTTTTTTTTTCTTTTTTGGAGGGCCTAAACTTCATGCCAAAAATTTCCAGGGGTCGCACTATACATGAAGTTGGCTTATGCACAGGTATATATATGGTCAGTGACCTGCAGAGGTTTAGTGTTTGGTGATTCTCGGGGACAATTCCTTGATTGTATGACCCCCTAGGACTCAAGTAGTGGGGACCTATAAGGGCCTAGTACTGAGAAACATGAACAATGAAGTCATTTTAAATATGTAAAAACATGATACATGAAATAAGCACTTTATTCAAATTAAATATGAACTAAATTTTTTTATTTCTCTTTGATCATATGCTCTCTCTCTCTCTCTCTCTCTCTATATATATATATATATATATATATATATATATATATATATATATATATTAACCTAACATTTTATTTCTTCAAATGTTATTATAGTAGATACTTCATATTTGAAATAGGTGCTCTATTTTTATTTATTTAACAGTTAAATTAATATTACAGTAATTTTAGATTTACAAGATTATAAAAATATGTGAACCAGCTATAAGGAAATATATATTATTTACCATTTTTAAAAATGAGAACCTATTAAAATATTTTTGTAATTATAAAATTATTCTTGTAAATAAGAAATCTAATGAATAAATAGTGTTTAACATCTTTGTTCTCAGTTCTCAAGAATAAAGAAAACATATAAATCCATTTTCATATTTTGAGGTTTTATTTAAAAAATTCTAATTGTCATTGCTTTTTAAAAGAATAAACATTACTGAGTTTATAGAGTAATAGCAGAGTCAATGTAATAACTGTCTTTCTGTCACACCTTTTTTTTGAAGGTTAAACATTTCTAGTAATTTTTCATATTCTTTGGAATTTTTTCTTTTCTTCTTTCTAGGATTTTCTCAAGTCTTTGCATGTCCTTCATGAAGACTGGCTTCTGCATGGGAAATATAGAATTCCAGCTGAAGTTATGGTAAGACAATGAGGATGTGTCAGTAAACCTGTAGATAAGAATTGACTGTTGTGGTGCATGGAGAAGCATTTGCTTATTTGGTTTGACAAGGAAAGAGATTAAAGAATAAATATTTGTCAAATAAATGCTGTTGTTCATCATTAGACTACAGGCTTATTGTTGACCAGACCTTAATTTTCATCTTTTATTTGCATAAGTCCAACTTTCTCAAATCTCCAATTTGATTTTCTAAAACTGTATTAAAATATCAGAAATTTGCATTACTAAAAAATTTTTTTTTTTTTTTAATATACAGGGTGTTCCCCAAAAATTGACATAATTTAAAATGTGAATATCTGAGTAACTACATATCCCAGGCAAACGGAATTAAATAGGCTTCATGTTTAACAATAAAAGATTTATTTATCAAAATTCAAACAAGATATTCAACAGGATGTAGATTTTATAACCATTTTCACAAAGCTTCATAAATGTTCAATAGACACACCACATGTGACATGACACATGTCAAGTTGGTAGTCCAGCTCCTGCCAAACACATTGTAGCATGTTTTGTGTAACATTCTCCAATGCCTTTTTTTTTTTTTTTTTTTTTACAGTTAGGTTCACCCTTTACAAGACCTGGGGGTGGGGGCACTCGAAGTAGAGGGTTACATTTTGGAGCCATTTGTTTGTATAAGAGTGGAAGATACTGGTTAACGTTGGCCTTGAACAAATTAAGATTGTAGTAATTGGGGAAATATCCTGTTGGGAGTTGGTTTCACAGGGCAGTAGTTCATGGGAAGAAATTGCTCAAGTGGAACTTACTTCTCACTGATGGAATACAAAGGGAATGTGCTATTGTGTAAGTGGCATGGCGTGTTCTTGCTGTGAAGGTTTTCCTTGGTAGGACCAGGGAATGTAGTTCATCCAAGCACTTTCCGTGGAAGTAGCAGTAGAGCAGCAAGAAGCTTGCCACATTCCACCTGTAGGAGAGAGGTTCAAGGGTGGGGAATAATTTGTCAGCCACAAGGGCTCAGAGACTCTTTTTAACTCTATCAAAGCTGGGGAGTGATGTCTGGTCAGCACCCACCTAAATATGACAACAGTTGTTCATTTTTGGCCTGATCTGGCTCTTATAAAGGTAGAGGATAGCAGGAGGAGTCAGGTGCTTACTGGAGTGGTACAGATAGCCAACCATTTTACCTTCATCCTTAGCAATAGATCGTATGTACGAGTTCTACTTCAGATTGGGTGTGAGTTTGAGGCTAAACAGTTTTTCAACACATGGTGCTTTCCAAAAGGATGTCTCTTCATCCTGATTAGTGGTAATTTGGGGTCAGATTGGTGATGATGGAATGTAACTAGCTTGATCTTCAAGGTATTGAATGTAACCAGCCAATTTTTACCACATTGGGTAATTTGTGCAAGATCAGAGAGATCGGTTGCCAATCTTCGACTATCGAGAGTTTCAGAAGTGCACCTGTATATAGTTATATCATCAACATAAATGTTTACAAATAATCTGAGTATATTCTTAGCAGGTCATTTAGGAAAATCAAAAAAAAGTTTGGCTTGAGGAGTGACCCCTTTTGGACACCTGCATTGGCCTCTTAGGTTCCAGAGGACTGGATATTGATAACTACCTTCATGGGCCTACTTGTTAGGAAGGATTTTATAATCAAGAAGACCCTTCCAGTGATAACTGGAGAGGCTGTGTAGTAAGCCTTTGTGTTACACATTGTCAAAGGCCTTTGAGATATCTAGTGCTATGGTCCTCAAAGTGTGTTTGTTATCAAGAGCCTTACTGATTCTGTGAGTGATGGTAGTTAAGATGTTGGCAGTGGATCGGGCCAACTGGAACCCATACTGCTTATTCTTTTCTGGGTGTTCAACGACCTTATTGATTAAGGCCTCAAATACTTGCCGATTATACTGCGGAGACTGATGGGTTTGTACTTGGTGGGGAAAGATCATACATCCACATTCTTGAAAACTGGGAATATGCTTGACACTTTTCATAGATTTGGGAAAGATTTATCCTTCAAGCAGCAGTTGGATAACTTTGCTAGGATTGGGGATAATTCTGGGTTGATATTCTTAACCAACAGAATTTTGTCTGGACCAGTGGCTTTCTTAGGGTCAATGCCTCAGTGATTTTCCGCTGAAGTTCCTTTAGGCTTGTAGGATGAGGGGAGATATAGACCTGTCCTTTCACATAGCCCCGTAGAAAAAAATCACAAGGTGTCAACATGGTGGCCATTTCAACAGCACATTGTCATTATCACTGGCATGACTGATCCATCTTCCTGGTAGATACTCATTGAGATGTCCTCACAGCCAGCTTCCAGTGAGGTAGAGCCCCACTGGAAGGTGACTGCATGGACTTATGACTGTTGAAAAATTAAGTGTTCGCGCTCATTAGCAATAAACTCATTTTGACTGTGTTCAAGCATTTTCTAACATACAAAATAATGTTTTATTTCTAGTGAACATCATTCTTCACCCTGAAAACTTATTTTTTGTACATTTGAGGATGTGAGCACTTAAATTAAAGGTGTTTTTATTTATGGATGATTGTTTTTGCTACTGTATAACTATTGCTTTGTGAATCATAAGTCTTGATGGCAATACTCATACAACAAAAACAACAATTCATAAATAAAAACACCTTTAGAAGCAAACATCCTCAATTGTATATAAACACATACACACATGTCACACCTTGCCTGCATCATAATACTCTACTCATCAGTTCTACTTACTCTGATGATGACTTAAGAATGTTGAAAGCTTGGACCATATTTTTTTAAATGAACTTTGGGCAATTTCTGATGGAATTTCCATCTTATCTGAGAATGATTGTTATTTGGAAAAGTTAATTGGTAAAATTAATTGGCACAAAATGTCTGTTGTCTTTAATAACATTTGCTGCCAAAACACATAGAAAAGATATATATATATCTATATATATATATATATATATATATAAGGATTATTTAGGATGGGGAATTAGTAAATACTAAACACTTGAAATACCTCAGCATATGGATTAATTATAACAAACTTTATATAAGAATAAAGGAAATTAAACAAGAAATAGATTGCACTGTAGATAGTTTCACCTAACATCGCAAATTGCTGCAATTGTAAAACATCAACTCGAAAACTCGAGTTATGTTCTCAAATAAAACTCATCATATCAAGACTTTCATATGGAGTTTAGGCACTAAATATGTGTAGAAATATGTAAACTTTCAGCTGTAAACAATCACTTTCTCAAATGAATGATTAAAAAAAGGCTTTGATCAAATGAAGTCTGTGCATCTTTGAACATTGTCGATTGGTGCTACAGAATCACAAACAACGAACTGTACCAAGTAACAAAAACTGTATAACTTGAGGATTTTCAACAGCAGCAACAGCTAAATGGATATCACATGCAATTCAAAAAGAAAATAATGACATAATCATGATGTTGACATTACACACTATTTCAAATAAAAGGTTAGGAAGGAATCCCCCATTAATACTGGAAAGAGCAATAACAGCTACTGGACTTGAGAAACCTATTTTTGTGAAAGATTTTTAAGAGTTTGCTTGATGTGCACATAGTATGTACACATCAATTTCTCTCATTGTAACATCTTGAACTTGTCAAGGGAGTATAAAATGCCAATTTTCACAAATAACAGTTGCCAATAAACCCAGTGATTATGTGAAAACACCTGAAACTTTTAGTTGTGGTCAGTCACTGTTCACTGGAAATATATACAGGAATCCCACGATTAATGTGCATTCGATTTATGTGTTTTCAATCAGAGCACTAAAATTTTTAAAAGCAAAATTGAATTAGTGCATAATGCAGTATAAATAATCCTTTTCAGATAAGGATGAAATTCTGTCAAAGATTGTCCAAATTTCATTTTTGAAAAAAGTACCAGAAATATGTAAAAATTATATATTATATTTGTGTGTGCACAGACACACAAACATATAAGTGAGAGATTATTTGTAATTTGAAAAAATTAATTGACACAAAATGTCTGTCGTTTTTAATTGTATTTGCCTCAAAAAGTATATATAAGTACATATCTAAATTTCTTGATTTCTGAAGTATTTGTTTCTCTTTTTAGGTGTTGGATGCAGATAAAGGAATCGAAGAAATGATAGAATTATTTCAAAATAGCAGAAATAAAATCTTGTGTCAATAAACTTTTCTATACACTTGTATTCTTTTCTGTCTTTATTTATTTGAATTAAAATCTTTATTAAAATTAAATAAGAATCCTAAACAAATTTCCTTGTTATTTGCCTTACTATCTAGACTAACATGCTCATCTTGGTTGTCACCCTCACAGCATTTCAGCCATTATATCCTCTGGCTTTCTTTGGATGTCTGTTGTCATAGTCTGTAAACATTTTTAACTAAATCATTTGGGGGGGGGGTAATATTTCATATCTATACTTATCTGTCTTGTGACACTTTCCCATTTCCTGGATACCAAAGTATTTACCATGGATTGAACATGTTAGGATCTGTCTACCCAGGTCTTTGTTGCTATCTGAGTGTTGGGATTCCAAACATTTAACAAAGGCAACAAGGTATCTTTTAAGTGAAACATATAAAAGGTTATTTTCTGAAGGGAAAGTAGAAGCAGAACATCATTTGAAATAACATATATTCTTTTCAGAAATAGACAATGACAATAAAATGTCCAATTTTCCTTGCAATGGATTTTTTTTTATCAATGAATTAAGTGTTTGTAGTGATATGTGTGAACAGACTTATTTTATGACAGCCTAAACAAAGGTTTAGTAGGCAGTTAACTGATTAATACTTAGTTGGCAGCAGCTGGTTGTCGTCTCTTCCACTGTGTGTGTGTGTGTGTGTGTGTATATGTATATATATATATATATATATATATATATATACGTAAATCAAACTGGCCTCTTAAATTGTTTTTGGACCTTGAAAAGAAGTAGGCTTCTATTTTTATATCTGTAAGGGAGATCCAATGAACTTTTTGAATACCAGGTTTTCATTAGTTAAAATGAGTTAGTTGAGACATTATCCATTACATCACAATGCACATCCAATGGTTAATTACAGGTTATAAATTAATAATGTTGTAAATAAACAATTAAATAAAATGTTGAACATTATTGCTGTCAGTTCTCTAGAGAAAAAAAATGTATAAATTCCATTCCATGTTCCATATGTTATGGTTTTATTAAAATTCTAAAAATAGCTTTTTAAAACAAAAAGAAATTACCCAGATTATTAGATTGGTTATTTTAGTTTTCTGTTCTGTCCAAGCATCAATAAAGTGCAGAAATGCACTTTATTAAAATGCACTGCACAGAAATAAAAAATCTTGCAAGTGTTTTAACAGAGGATGGAAAATGTGACATAGAAATCTGAATGTATATTGAAATAAAAAAAAAATGCCTTCCAAAAGTTAAGCAAAGTATTAAGAAACAGCAAAATTTTGTTAGAAAAAAGTATGCTGAACTGCTATATTGCTATATGAGAGGATTGATATGACATAGTGAATATTGGACAATATCCTTAAAGAGGAAGAGGAGACTGAAAGTAACACAAATATGGTTCTACAGGAGGATGCTGAGAATAACATGAATGAAGCCTCTACAACGAAATCTTAAGGAAAATGGAATTAAAAAAGACATATACTCAGCACTAGAAAGAGATGGTTGAAATTTTTTGAACACTTTAATGAGGAAGGAAGGCTTGGAAAAATTGATTCTCACAGATAAATAGGATTTGAAAAACTTGAGATGGTGGAATGAAAGATGGGAGTGATGGTAAAAAGACAAACATTACAAAGATCCATAAGAAATAGGCAGTTGTAGATCACCCACATCCAGAAGAAACATAACACAGGGAAAATTTCAATGTCAGGAGCTTTGGAGAATTTGTTTGACTCATTTTCCTCAAATAGTTACTCTTCCCACACCTTTGTTAATCACTCATTCAACATGACATGAAGGGGAGTGGTTGGAATAAACTTCAAAGCCCAATGTTATTTTTAGCAATGATGCAAATAACATTTAGAATAATTTTTTTTATTGCACAGAAATAAATATAAAGCTTGAGTAATAATTTTGCCTAAAAATTCTCAATACAGTGTAACCCGGATATAAGAGAGTTGTCGGGACCGGAGAAGAAGTCTCTTATATCCGGGTTTGGTCTATTTTATATACATTAACACAGGCTCTAATTTGGGACCAGAGAAAATCTCTCTTATATCCGGGTTTCTCTTATATCCGGGTTTGGTCTATTTTGTTTACATTAACACAGGCTCTAATTTGGGACCAGAGAAAATCTCTCTTATATCCGGGTTTCTCTTATATCCGGGTTTGGTCTATTTTGTTTACATTAACACAGGCTCTAATTTGGGACCAGAGAAAATCTCTCTTATATCCAGGTTTCTCTTATATCCGGGTTTGGTCTATTTTATATACATTAACACAGGCTCTAATTTGGGACCAGAGAAAACCTCTCTTATATCCGGGTTTCTCTTATATTCGGGTCTCTTATATCCGGGTTACACTGTACATAAAAAAAGGAGAAATAAGTTTGATAGGTTGATAGATTCTTTTTATTCAACTTCTTTTTTTTCTTAACAATGTTAATATTTTTTTCAGTTTTTATAAATCATAATCAAAATTTTCTGGTTGAATTTAATGAAAGAAAATGTTCAAAACAGCCAATTAAAAACAAATGTACAGTTGATCTCTATAAAGTTTGCCTGGCAAATTCTATGTTATGTTCTCAAACCAGTCATTAAACATGTCACAGTTGTTAAGCTGTTCTTTTTACACATTCTCTTCCTTTTATCTTTTAGCAGTATTGGATTATCACCACCTGACAATAACCCAAAATTGTGCAATATTAGATTACAACTCCCTGACAATAATCACAGGTGGTGTGTGATTGGATTACAACCTCCTGACAATAATTACAGGTGGCATGATTTTGGATTATCATCACCTGATAATAATCCAACGCAACATGGTTTTGGATTATTCCCTTGAGAATAATCAAAGGCGACTTGATTTTAGATTATTGCTGTCTGACAATAATCAAAGGCAGCATGATTTGGGATTATCCCCCCTAACAATAATCACAGGTGGCATGATATTGGATTATCATAATTTTGGATTACCACCCCCTAATAATAACCATAGATGATTCTTTCACAGAAATTAAGAAGTCAGAAAGAAGAAGGAAAGAATTTTCAAGCCTATGTGAAATTTTTTTTTGACCAATGAAAACCTTGCCTTTACAGAAATTATTCAGTTAACCAAGTAGAAGAAAATAAGGAATAGGATAATTCTCTTCTCCCCTTATCTGCTCATTCATCAACTGTAACCCCTTGCAGAGAACACGTTCCCTTTTGGGAAAGGCATGAACAATACATGCACACACACATGTATGTATGCACATACTTTGCACCCAAAAAGTTTTCACATTCATTTGTTACACATCTTTGTCACTTGTATACCTTTCTTTCTTAATACTTTATCAGTTGTTTGTACATATACGTACTATATATGTACATATGTTTGTACATATACGTATTTGTTCTTATTGTTTCTTTATATTTCTTTTCATTTATTTACATGGACTCACATCCTGCATCTGCCATGTTTGTTGTGGGCATTTCAGGAGACACAGCAGTTTATTTCTGAACGCATACACTGGCCTGCACCAACTTTTTGTGTTATTAATAATGAGAGATGATTCCTTTTCTTTTTCTCAATGTTACCCATAAGTGTATTTGCAGTTCTTTTTGACATTTTCACTGTATAAAGGCACAAAAATAACAAAAAGAAAAAAAATCACAGTATTCTTATGTTTACCCAATACAATTGCTTGACAGCAACTAATATTTGGCAGGCTCAGGTCACTCAGCCAGACTGGGGGAGTGGTGGGTGAGTCAGGACGATCATGACACCAGTTGCCACATTATACCTAAGTGGCATGGGTCAAGTACATAAAGTTTTTGTATGCTAAGCACCACACTAAAGATATTCAGTTTTCAAAGGTTTTTGACATCCGTATGTTCAGATATGGGATTGTCAACCTGCATCAAGTTTTTTTACGCATCAAATTTTATTCAAGGTATTTTTTACTAACTGTTTGGCTTCACCATTTACATTATTCGGACTATTGTCCTCATCTTTGTCGCTATATTTATCACAACATTTTGGCAGTTGTACGCTCCGGCCTTCTTCAGGTGGTTGGAATGTCGAACTGAACTCTTTATTTCACTCACTGGGGTAGACTGTTCTAGTTCCATGTGCCATGTCTAATGGATGTGTTATACTGGAACACACCTATTCTATTGTTAATAGACTCTCCCACCTATAATAAATAGGAGAAGTAGCAGTAGCAGTCGGCTGAGTCGCTCAGTGAATCAGTCAGAGAATTGGTCAGTCAGTCGATGTCGGACGACCGTTAGTCGGATATTAAAGTATCAGCCACCACAACTAGATTGTTGTGTCATTAACTTTTATATCAAGTTCCTAATGTTTTGTACGTCGAACCTTTTTAGGACCGACTTAGTGAAATACAAGCCTCCACTGTGAAACTACTCTATAACAGGATGTCAGTTATCTCCTGTTAATTCCTCTCTCAAAGTTCTCCACTGCCTTAAACAGGTATTGAACTCACACTCTTTGGGTCCTGTCACTGGATCTAACGCTTTTATCCACTGTGCCATGTGTCCTTGAGGATAAGGTTGTTAGCATGTAGAACTAGAACAGTCTACCCCAGTGAGCGAAATAAAGGATCCAGTTTAACATTCCAACCACCTGAAGAAGGCCGGAGCGTACAATGGCTGAAACGTGATAAACATGGTGACAAGGATGAGAACAATAGTCCGAATAATGTAAATAATGTACAGAATATCTCATCTCAGAAATATAGACAGATATTGTCTGGTTTCATTTAGCAGTTTTATATAAAAAAAATATGTCTTAGTAACTTTCTTCTATTAATAAATGTTTTTGTAAAACAATCGCCTCAAAGAAAGTGTAATAAACAAACCTAGACTCTTAGTCTTCTTGTATTATTTTTTATATTTTTACCTTTTAATTATTTTTATATAACTTTACATTTCTTTTTCATTATATAAATTTTTATATTACACCCTAAAGAGACATGACATTAGAAATGCACATATAATTGTATCTATACTCTAAAAAGCTGTTCATAACATTCATTAGCAAACACTGCTTGACTTAGGTTGAGTCAGTAGAAGTTAGTTTGTTAAGTAGGTAGAAATTGAACGTGTTTGAATGACCGATAAAACAAAGATGGGTGGTAATAGGTCACAAGATACTTAGAGTAATAAAAGAAAGTTGTGGAGAGTCATGATCGCCCATATCTTGCAAGGTTATGGTAAGAAGAAGCTCAAATAAAGGAGATTCTGAAAAGTAGTTGTTTGGATTTTTCAAATTTGGCGAAATCGATATGCGAAATTCTGTATAAAAAGGAATAAATCTATATTCATTGTTTTTTTGTTTGTTTTCTGGTCTGATATTCAACAAAAAAAAATGAAAAATCTATTCTGAAAGTAACTTGAAACTTTGCAGCTGAAATCAAGTAGACCAGGAAGTTTGTAAAAAGGGTAATAAAATAATATTGTTTGTTTTGAAATTACTTTATATAAATATTATTTTTTTTCTATAGATTATTTCCACATGTCTGAAAAAAAAAAAAAAGTTAAAAAAAGGGGACTTAGAAACGTCTGCTACAGACTTATGTAGGCCTGTTGTTTTTTCACTAAAGAAAATAATAAAAAAAAAACATGGATAGCAACTCAAATATATATGTGCCCACTAAAAATAACGTTTTTTTTAGTAATCAGGATTTCTATTTGTTTTATATTGTATAGAAAGACTTTTAAAAAAAAGTTTGAAATTTCGATTTATCTGGACATCTCTATAAGTGTGCTGATGTCCTTGAACTAATTTGAATTCTCGAGAAACAAGACTCACAAAAAGTTACTGCGTTAAAAATAAATTATCAAATTTTCCAAATTTCTTTTTTTATCTATTTACACAACAGTAGTATATCGTTTTTTTTAAAATTTGATTTCATATTAAATTGGTAAAAAAGTCTTATTTATTCTAATAATTAAAATTCATTAAAAAAATTGCTTAATATTTTTGAAATGTAGATAATTACATTTTTTATTGTAGAATAAATTAAAAGCTAGTTTAACTTGAAAAATGGTGAAATGAAAAAGTAAAAAAACTTATTAGATTTATCAATAATTTTATTTAATTTCATTTAAAGGTTTTTTTTAAAATGCTAATTTAAATAATTTACAACACAAGGGTGCAATAAAAACTGCGTAATGTGTATGTATGGGGTGGGCTAAAAAGCGATATTAAGTTTTAAAAGGTCCCTGAATTCTGATCCTCTCATCAAAATCATTTTTAATATTTATCATTTTTAATTTTTAATATTTATTTTTGCTTTCCGGTTGTACTTATTTTCTAGAATGAAATTGAAACATATCGACTTTTTTCCGCTTATAAAACTTCAATTAATAAAAGTTTTTACTTTTTAGAGAAGCTAATGTTTCAGGGAAAATAAAAAAAATGAAAATGAAATTTGCCGATTTATTTTGAAAATTATTAGCAGGCTTGAATTTAGACAACTGATATAGCAAAAAGTCATTGAAAACAAATTTAGTTTTCTTTTTAGTTTTCTTCATAATCAATTCTTTCTTTATATAATCCGTGGATATATCCACGTAGTAAGGTTTTGGTAATCGTTTACTCATCTTGAGAAGTGAGTTCGATCCTCACTAGTACCCGTACATGTGGCAAACATTAACTACGTTTAATAATAAATAACTAGGAAATAATTCATTCTAGTTTGTCAATGTAATATTTAAAAAAAGAAAAAACAATGGCACATTTCACGTTGCTAATGTAATAAACTAAACAGAAACTAAAGTAAAATGAACACGTTTTTTACTTATTTAAGAAAAAAAAAATACAAGTCGAAGTAAGAGTTAGAAATAAAACTGGAGTAGGAGTGAAAAAAGTAGTAGTAGTAGGAACAAACCAACAGTGGTAGGAGGCAAGCAACTGTCGTTTAGTTACATTATTGGATTGACCACTTTTTGGAAGAGACGTGAATTTTTGGGGGGGTTTCTATTGACTTTCTCCTTATACCATCGTTGAATTTTAAAATATCAAGAGAGAAACAAAGGAATTTTATTAACTTTTGTTTTCACGGAAGATTTTATTTTGTCAACATGAAGTTTAAATATAAAGAAGAAAACACGTTAGGTATGTAAAAGTATATATTGGCATTTTTAAAAAAAAAATTCTGTTTTTGTTCTGTCTTTTGTTTGATTAACATTAACAATCAGAAAGTGTAAAGAAAGACTAAGAAAAACTATTTTAATTTCTCTCTCTTTTTTATATAATTTTAGCTACAGACTTTAAAACATTTAAAGACTGTTGTCACTTGTAAAACAAATTGTCATGAAAAGAAAAATCACTAAAAAAAAAAAAACACCCAGGTTTTGGTAATTTAGATTTTTCTAGATAAAACTTGTTTATTTTTATTTACTTTTCTTATTTATTAAAGAAAAGTCATTTTGAATCCCTTTGAAATGAATTGATTGAAACAATTTGACTTTATGTAAATTTAAGTTAATTTTAATAATTTAGTTATTAGACGTTAATTCTAGTGTAAATTAATTTCTACAGGAAAAGTAATTCCTTATGGTAAAATTAAAAAGAACATTGTAACATTTTTATCAGTATTAGTCAAAATGGCCTTTTTTTGTGAAATCTTCAGTTATTTATTTGAATTTTGAATTTTAACATAGATGTTTGTTTAAAAAAGTGAACACTAGTTTGTAAAACAAAAAAAAATCACATTTTTATTTACATATGTAGGGTGTAACACACACACACACACACATGACACACTTCACGGGGAGGTGTTGTATGCCAACCAAATGTTTCAGTTAAATTAAATTCTTCGGAATTTTTTAAATTTAATAACATTTAAAAAATGCATTGTTGTCGAATGTTGGTATTTACATACAAGCATTTTTACTTTCTGTCGAAATTTAACCAAATTCCTTTACAAATCTGGAAGATGACAAGCATTTTTAAAGACACGAGTGTTACATGCATGGATGGATTGATTGTTAGTTCTTCATAAGTGCACGCTTTCATTTTTTTTTTCATATGAATATATCTTGTTTAAAACGTTTGACAGCATTATTTCTTTTAAAACGTTAATCAATCGAAACAGAATTTAAAGATCGGAATATTGGTTTCCTGTTGACAATAAAGAAAAAAACTAGTTAAAAATCGGTAAAATTTAAGCTTCGTGCGATATTTCATCTCCCTTTCTAGTCACTAAAACAAAAAAAGCCATCAGTTTTCTAAGACTAAGAAGGCCTAAACAATCTCTATGTGGATTGCTTTTTTTAATTTTTTAATTAAATTAAAAAATATTTCAATTTTACATTGTTGACAGTAAAAAAGAAAACTTACTTTTTGTACTTACTTTAAAAATTAAATAATTTATTGTATTTCATGATTTTGGGATTATGAAAAAGTTAAGGTAAAAATAAATTTTTTTCGTAAATTCTTTTTATTTTTAATGAAAACTGATTCTAGTTTTAAAACCTTTCTAGTTTGGTATTTTCTGGTTTAGCGCCACCCCCACCCCCCACCAGGTCCGCGTGACACGTTTTTCGAACTTTGTTTTTTTTTAAAGGATTTGTTGCTTAATTCACCCGCCAAATTTAGACACAAAGAAACAAATGAAATCATTTTTACTTTAAAAAGACTCGTACTTTTCACACAAAGAAATGCTCAATATTTTTCTTCGTTTATTTAAATCTTAGACTTGTGCTAGAGTATTATACTGATATTTTATTTTTACATCTGATTAATTAAATTAAAGAAAAAGATTTGGCTTCTTTCATGACAACAAACAAATAAATGGAAAATGCTTTTTATTTGTTATACTTTTTTTAAGTGGCTTTCAGACAATCTTTTACCGTTTGTATTTTTTTTTACGTGTTCTTGTCGAGGAATCATTTTAGAAAGAAACTAATGAAGAAACCTGAGAGAAAGAAAACTCATTTTTAGTGGCACCATAAAGCATTTACGGAAGAAAACATTGGAGATATACAATAATCTTATTTAAATATTTCCTTCATAACAAACATTGATTTAAATTCTTTTTACTCAATTGCTGATCGTAGATTTTTGGTACAAAGGACCAAAAATATTGGAAAATAACGAACAACCAACTCCTGCCCATAAGAATAGTCTCGCGTTATTTTTTTTTTTTTAGTTCAATCAATATTCTCTTTTTAATTAACCCGATCTGTCTCTTAAGTTTGAAGAATACTAGAACTTTTTTACAGAAAGAATTAGTCTAGTAATTTAGTTTTTGTAGTAGTCGTAGTTTTTTGGCATGCGCGGCCGGCAGACACGTAATGTTTCTGTTTTAATTTAAAAAAAAGGACATAATAAAAAAAACTAAAAAAAAAACTGTTCTTTCTCTAATTTAATCTTGCATCTAACTAAAACTAATTGCAGATAAAACTATAAAAAAATTAAAAGCAATAACAAAATCATATTTAAAATGTCTGGTCCGAAAATGCCAAAATGGCCCCACCTCCTACAGGAACATATGAATGAACCATTCATTCATACTATCATCTTTCCAAAAGAAAGTGGGTGTGGCAAAAGCCTTTCTTTCCACCTGTGTATTTCGGAAATTGAATTCATGTATAATTTTCACTTAATTTCTATAAAATTTATTATACGTAAGAATTAAAACTTTATAAATTCAACAGGAGTCTACCATATCAAAATTCTCTAATAATGGTAATTTTTTTTTTCTTTCATTCTCACATTCAATATTTTTCACCTTTATGTGAAGATCAGAATCAAATTAGTATTGGTAACAAAAATGTCCACCTTTTTACTACTTTGATCTGTCGATGTGTCCCCTTTCAGTAATAAATAAAAGAAGTTGTAAAGTACCATTTTTTAAATCCTTCAAAAATTTGTTCTCTCGATATAACCACAAAAAAAGTTTTTGGTCGATTCCTTCTATAGCCTATATTCTCAGATATATAATTTGTGTTTATTGTCATGGCACAGAAAAAATGGCACATCTTAGCTAAATTTTTGCTAGAGCAACATTGTTAAAATGCTGTAAATTTGAGAATAAAGCAATTTTCAGATCTGTCTGGCCACATATTTCGAAATAAATAAATTTTTGTTGAATATTAAAACAAAAAAAAAAAGGAAGGTTGACCATTGTTGAGATCATAGTCATTGTGAACTCTTCAATCGTTTCCTTAGTTGCATAGGTTCACCAGGGCTACACATGGTTTTGAATTCAGATTTATCCTCCTTGACTGGCTGTCAACCAAGGCTACAGATCACACTATTATTTAACCCATAGTTAGGAGATAGCTGGATATCTTTCCCCAGGGTATTTGTGAATAAGTGAAAGCAACAAACTCTACTGGAATTAGAACTTGGCTCTCGGAATTCTCATTCTGCTATCCATTACGCCATCCACACATCCACATTAAATATAAATCAGTTAAAAAATATTTTACCTAGGGGAATAACTATGGCTATTAACTGTTAGTAATGTTTCCTTGATTAGTGGAATAAACAGGAAAGAATCACTGACCATCTGCACTTCTCTCTATCAGCCATAATGGCATGTCTTTAGTTACACTTTTATAATAATCGATAATATAACTGGTCAGGTGGAATGAGCAGAAGCAGCATCACAAGGTTGAATTACCTAATACAAGTTCTCCCCTAGCATGGACAGTCTACCCATCTCCCAGCATTAGGTTAAAATATTCCCATGTTAGAATATGACAAGACCCTGAAAAAGGTTAGAGGCTACAACAGTTGCAATGTTACTAAAACAACCAAGATAAAGATGTTAGTTTGCTTAAATTAATGTATAATAAGGATGTTGGTATGCTTCTTGTAATATAGGGTTATTTAGTGGCATTATTTATTGTGCTGTGTGTTGTCTCTGGTTTCTTGTGGATTATTGGCAATTCTTCAGGCCCCACTGCTGCATGACGGGCTGAATGAATGACAATTTTCTTAGGCTTTTTTATTTTTTTTCTCATTTTATTTAAGCAGAAGACCATAATAGTAGTTGCATCATTTCTTGGAGAAAGCAAGAGAGAATTGATGGATCTCAGGTTGGCTCGTATTAGTATATTGGGCATCATCATGTAGTGGTTTGTTTTGATCTTCTGAAACTAGCTATGCCAAGGAATCTGGGAGCAGAGTGGGGTCTTCCCCTTCTATTAATGCCACAATACTGTCTGTGCATTTTTCAGTCTTCTGTTGAAATTTAAACAAAGACAATTCGTAACAGAATTCCATATCCACAGAGCTCAAACTATCCCACTCAGTTTGGTTAACCAAAGTTCCTTACCAATACCGCCATTTTGTGCAAGCCTATACATTCTGTAACATTGCTTTCTTGACTCAAATATCTCCTAATTAAATATTAGTCAAGCCTTAAACCATTGAAAACTATTCAGATAAAAAGCGATTGGAAGATCTTGTATGTTTCATTGTGTCTTTTGGGCAACTCTTCAATATTCTTATGGCAAGTAAAGAAATTTGCATTTATTTTCTAATCTGGCAAATTCACAAGTCTTGTCTCTTGTCCTTTATTTAAGCAGTCAAATCAGACAAATAAGATTAGTTTTGTGAGAAGTATTATGAATCACTTTAATATTCTCCCTTTGAGACTTGGGTTAGAAAGGAGGATGTTTAGTAAAACTATATTTGGGGAATAACCGATGACATTTAACCTGCTCCAAGCTGCCATTCTGCCTCTTTTAAGATAGGTAATCAAGTGTTACAAGTTTGAATCTCTGAATTGGAAACAATATTCAGAAAGATAGATATTCTTGGTGTGGCACAAGGCTGAAAGTATGGGGGCAACCAGTGAGGATTGAACCCACTACTCTGTTGTAATTGATTAGATTCCTAACCATTACGCTACATTGGGTGCCTTTTTCATTTTCTAAGCTTAGCCTAGATGTTGCACCAGGCCAAAAATGTGTAGCTCCCTGTGAGATTTGAACATACGACTTTGTTTTGTCGGGGAAGAGGAGGAAGTTTAATTGACAAAAATTAGTTGGATGACATTCAGATATCTACTGTTGCTGGGGTGGGGAAGATGAAATTAAAAACAAGAACATTTATTTTTGTATACAAAATTGCAATAAAAGTAGAAAATAAAAAGTAAAGCCATAGCTACTCAAGTTTCATCCCTGAATTAATGGATCATCAGGCCAGGTTCAAATTTTAGGTTTTACTTTTTATTCTTGACTTTTATTGGAATTTTGTATGCTCTACGATGTATTGAGAACTTTTTATTACCAGGTTCACTAGTTATATCCAACCAACTATCATTGTTTCTCTCTCTCTTATATATATATATATATATATATATATATATATATATATAAACAGTATATGAATTTCAACTTAACATCAAGAAACTGATTAGACAACTGGAAAAGATCAGTATAAAATTAAGTAGACACAATATGTCTATATTCAGTGAAATGTGTTTGAATGAAGATATGCTGCCCCTCTCTCTCTCACACACACACACACACACACACACACACACACACACACACACACAGATATATATATATACATATATATACATACACACACACACAGCCAACTACAAAACTATTCATACACTCATCAATTTTGAATATTTTTTATCCATATCACAGAATCTAATGCCCGTATGGAGCCATGTTTTTTATATGTTAATAAGCACGAAAAAAGAATTCTGTCATGCCAAACTGTTTAAACTTATTTATAATGGACTATACCATAGATCTAGGGAAAGCTAACCAGTTTGAAATAGTGCTGTAACTATTTCGGGACTTGCGGAAGTTAATAATTCTCTGTCTCGAGTCAACACTAAGCTCCTTTGTCTTCCCCATTGTGTTGTTAACGTAAGAATAACAATGGTAACACTCTAAGCAACATGTAATGTTATTTACTGGAATTATCACAAATATTCTACTGAATAAATAGTCTAGATGGCTTCTTGGATGAAATATTTATATAAATTACTTACACGAATCAATCAATTTAAAACGATATTTTCTACCATATGAATAATTTTGTCTTTTCCTATTTTGCAGAATTCACCTGTCAAATTTGTTGTATTTAATGTATTGTTCTGAAAATTGAGTTTCATATTTCTTTTTTGTGCTTATTAACATATAAAAAAACCTGTCACCAAATGGGCATTAGAGTCCGAGAAATGGATAAGAATATTCAAAATTGATGGGCGTACAAATAATTTCGTTATTCACACACACACACACACACACACACACACGTGTGTGTGTGGAGCAATCCCTCTTTTATACAGATTCCATTAAAGATGACTGATTTTTTTTTTTTATATATTTTTCTTGTGTGCATGAAAGTGATTTCTTTTTTGGACGTGGTCTGCATAAATGGTCTTTAGGTCGAAGCACTCTCGGCTAATCTATTAGCCATTATCAGAGATTTTTTTTGTTTGTCTTAATATGTAGATGGTAAGGGTACTTTTTAGTAATAGAAATGTTTTAATTACTAAACACAGCACATATGCCTGTATCATCCACATACAAGCCTGTTTTGTTGTATCACAGCTGGTATGATTAGACATCTAATTACTTCAAGCTGGGATCGAAATTTGACCAATTTGTCATCAATCAGAGACTCTACTCCTCGATGTGTTAATAGCAGGATCAGCCACTGTTGAAAATTCGCTTATTCTATAGTGCTCAATTGATGAATAAGAGCATGGTCATCCACATACAAGCCTATATATAAAAAAATCAGATGGCTGGCAAGGCATTATATAGGACTAACATTATTTATGAATTTAAATGCCCTTACGAAAATGTTTTCTTAATTAAAACAAATTCCTGAATAATAATTACATTGGATATACAACTACATGCCTATCAAGAAGACTTACTTTGCACCTCTCAGATCATATGTCCATTAGAACCCATTTAAATACATATGGAGACCTACCAACCTCTGTCCACAACATAATACACTTATCTACCAGCAGAAAATGCTTAAAAATAATGTAAATCTTGATAATAAGAAACAAAAAACCAACTCTTCATAATAATGTACTGGCAGTGTTCAGAAATTAAAACATTTCTATTGCTAAAAAATTACCATCACAAACTACATATTAAATCAAACAAAAACATTCTTGATAATGGTTAACAGATTAGCCAAAAATGCTTTGACCCAAAGATCATTTAAACAGTTCTTACACACTCTGTCCAAAAAAGAATGTCTTGTATGTATACAAGAAAAATCTAATAAAAAAACTTAAGTGCAGTTTGTTGTCACACATTTTTAATGAAATCTGTATAAAAGCAGGATTTCTGCCCAAATATGCACACATATATTTATATAAAGACAAAAGGGAAGAATTTCCATGATTTCTTGGGAAAGTTAGTCAAGAGGTTTCTCATTGTCTGGAATTTGGAATTTCCCTTCTCTTAGACTGGTTTCTACGTGTTTTTGTCTTCTGGTGGACTTTGTCAAGCTTGAAGCTTACAGCCATATTACATTGAAAAACCAGTTCCTGTACAACCTGTCAAGCCTGGTCAGTATCAAGATGGGTAACCACTTGAGAATACCAGGTGCTGTAAGCTTAGATGTGTGGTTGGTGTAATGGATAATGATTTGGAATTGTTAATCAGAATGCTGTGTTCCAATTCCAGTTGTGTTCATTATATTCATTATGTGTAAGTATTTTGGGGAAAGATTCACCTCTTCTCTCCTCAGCTATGGCTTAATTAGTAAGCCTTGTATTACTAAATTATTATTAAAAAGAAAAATTTTCCAATTTAAAAAGATTTACAAAAATATTTTTTAGGTTTAAATAACATGCAAAAGACTAATAAGCCATAGAAAATGAATCGGTTAATTGACAGTAACAATTACTGTTTGTAACCTTTCAGTGTAAGACTATAATTTCTCATATTACTATCCTGACTATATTACTGAAGAACTCTCCCCAAAAATATCTTCTACATTTGATAGCATTTTTACTTTTTAAGGTTCAATTATAATTTACTTTGCTTTTCTTAGAGTAAACGAAAAATATCCAATTTTCAATGAAAATGAACTTTGACATATATGAATAATGACAATTTTATTTTTAATTGACAATAAAGATTGTAAAAGATATTTCTTAGTCATACATTTCTTTTTCATCTTGGTATAAAAAGTTATGTGGTACTAAAGACCGATTCAGCTTTAATCCACCTCTTCACCTATTAGAGCCCAACGTAGATGACAGATACTTTCAGCATGTGATTTTGCATAGGGATTAAGTTTCTGTAAGAAAAAAAGAAAAAAAAAAAAGCTGTTATGGGTTAATAACTAAACCGTGTATCACTAAATCATTTTAATCTCAAAAAAAAAATGATTGCAATCTAAAAATATTTCCTAGCTTTAAATAACTTGCAAAGTGTTGATAAGCTGTAGAAAACAAATCAATCAATTATGAAGCTTAAAGTCCATCAGTGCATTCATAAAGAAAAAAATTTTCCTCTTGTCTTTATTCATAGTCTTTTTACAGATATAATTTTTATTTATATCTGAATTCTTACACACACATATACACCATATCCCTTCAGAGAGTAGGAAACTATGTTCTTCCACAGATTTTTCTTTATTTGTGAATAGCCAAGGATTCCTGGGAATGATAGTGAAGTGGTTTTCAGTTGCCTTCTCCATGGTTTGAATTCAAAGTTTTCCTTAGACTGGCTGGCAGCCAAAGCTCTCTATAGAACATTTCCTTTATCTGAGAATTGTTATGAATTTTTGGGAAAGATAGTGGAGAGGTTTCTCATTATCTGGAATTTGGATTTTTCCTTTTCTTAAACTGGTTGCTGGCAAAGCTCAAGAGCTTACCTTTCTATTTAATCCATAGCCATGGTTGTGGGTAGATATGGTATTCTGCTGTGGGTGGGAATAGGGTTCAGGTAGCCAGTTTGTTAAAGCCAGTCTTTTGAAAGTTAGAACAATAGATATAAATGACAAAGATTATTTTCAAATATCTGAAAATATGTTTTGCAGAAGAGCGGCAAGCAGAAGCAGCACGTATTCGAAGAAAATATCCTGAAAGACTTCCGGTAAGCATTTTTCATTTTCTGATGATATATACCAGGAATGGTTAAGTTTGTTTAAGAGCTGTTGTTTAAGAAGTGTCAACAAAACTTTTTTTTATTATCAAATACACATTTTAGAATAAAACTTGGCACAATTAAATAAAAATGAGGAAAACTTTTAGCGGAATAATTTTTGTAATTTAGCATTCGTTAGACCTTTCTCTAACCACAACTTTCGTCAGAATCTAAAAATAATTGACTTTTTAATCATTTTAGAAGTAGGGGTCCTGTTCATAATATAAATACAGTTTCAAATTGATCCCTGACTTCTTATAGTCATCTGTATTTTGTTTTTATTTACAAATGTCACATTTGAAACAGTCCACATCATTGATAATTGAGGCTGACCTTTTTCTTAATTCCCACTAAGACGCTGGGGTCTACTGAGAGTGAAAGAGAAGGAGAAGACTTTAGAGGGAAATGGAAACCAATCCTAAACGGGGATAAACCTCTACTCCTGTTCAAAAGACCAGAAAATAGTGTGAACTGGATGATAGGCAAAGCTATCTACTCCTATTGAGGCGGGGGGAGTAGTAAATAAAGTTTCAGAGTTTAGGTAGAGATGTAAGATGTATAGACTTCAAGTAGATTTGACTTGCAAAGGTAGTAGAAACCCAATCATAAACAGGTAACAAGGGATAAACCTCTACTCCTGTTCAAAAGACCAGGAAGGAGTGCAATCCGGACAATAGGTGAACATATCTATTCATATTGAGGAAAAATAAATAGTAAATAAAGTGTCAGAGTAAAAGCAGGGATGTCTAGAATTGTAGTGGACTTTAGAAGGAACTGGAAACTTAGTCTGAAACAAGGAATAAACCTCTACTCCGGTTCAAAAGACTGGGAAGGAGTGTGAACAGGATTATAGGCAAACTTATCTACTCCTATTGAAGAAAGAGAAAAACTAAATAGTAAATAAAGATTCTGGGTTTAGGTGGAGACGTTAGAAGTATTGAGTTGAAGTACACTTAAAAAGGCACAGGAAACCCAATCCTAAACAGGTAACAAGGGATAAATGTCTACACCTGATCAAAAGATCAGGGAGGAGTGTGAACTGGATGATAGGCGAACCAATCTACTCCTATTGAGGAAAAAAGTTTCAGAGTTTAGGCAGTAAGAAGTCAGAGATTGGTTTGGCATTGTATTTATATTATGAACAGGACCCTTATATTATGAACAGGGACTCTTTTTTAAAATGAGAAAGATATATATTTTTCAATTCTGACAAAGGCTGTAGATTGAGGAAGGTTGAATGTTAATTTACAAAAATTGTTAAAAATAGATTCTTCCTAAATCTTTTTTTTATGAGCAGATCAGATAATTTTAATTGTTCTTAAAACTATTTAATGAAATTAATTTATTTTTCATCTGACATTTTTATCATTTCAAATGTTATGGTGGACATTTTTAAGTATTAAACATTGTGTATTAAGTCTGTTGGCCTATCTATGCATTTGAGAAATCTTAGTAAAGGAAATGTGTCTTCCAACAAGGATTGAACCCGCATCCCTTTTTTTTTTTATGGGGGGGGATTACTGTTTGATTCTGCATGCTTTACTGCTCAATCACAAAGGACTTCACAGTAAACAAGGCTCTTTTTAACCTATTTAAAGAAAGCACATCCCATTCACTCAGATTATTCAAGTGCCAATATCTGCTCAGTTTTACATCAGAAATGCAAACAAAGCAATTTCTAAAGAATTAATGAATTTTTAATCTGTCATTTTATTTCTTCAAAGCACACCAGATCAAGTGGCTGTTTCTCCCTACAAAAGGGGGCACAAGTTCAATCCCTGGAAAAGAACACATTTTTTTTTTTTTTTTTTTTTTTTTACTAAGGTTTCGTGTAGGCTGGGCAGTAGGTGTAATATGTGCTCTTTAATAAATAAAAATAAGGCGTCTATTTCAAATAAGTGTGCACTATAATAACATTTGAATTATATATCCACTCTCAAGTACTTTCAAATGTTGCTACATTTGTTTTCAAGGATCATTTTGTGTGTAATTATGCAACTGGTTTTTAATTCTGGTGTTCTCACATTTCCAAGTCAATCAAAGTGACATAATATAAAGAGCCAAACAGAAATTTTTGTGTGTGTGTTTATTTTATTTCATTTTTTTATATTAAGCATACTTCAATATAAGGTTCTCTATGGAAAAAGGCACCTTATTTAATGTTTATGAGTGACTTGGAATTGGTTCCATCAAACATGAGAATGCCAAAATTAAAAAAAAAAAAAATCTATAACTGTACAGAACAAGACTTGAAACTCAGTTGTGCTACTGGTAAGGATATATATATATAGTCTTAAGGTGTGCTATATTTATGGGATAAAGTGCTCTATATCAGAGATAGTGTGTGTAAATATAAAAGTGAACATTGAAGTCAACACTTAGAGGCGACAGTCTGTTTCATGCTAAACGCAATCGTCAGGCCATGAGTGCTGTTATTTTTCTCGGCTATTTATATATACGGGTCAGTGGTGCATTGTGGGTAGTCTATTTTGGCGGTTATTTTCCTGGAAGTTGTTTATTTGTTTATTTGGGTTAAATTATTTGGCCTGTCATTATTTACTTTTATTTTTATTTCTTATCTTATATATTTATTTTTATTTTAATCGGTGTTTTTATTAACGTAGTAAAAATTTGTTTATATCGCTTATTTAATAGTTTTGTTTGTATTAGGGAAGATAATTAAAGCTACTAATCAATTTTGGGGTTGATTGTTGTTTATTCTAACTATTATTTTGGTGGGAACAGTTTTTAATTTGTTTATTACTTAATGTATTCATTTGGATTGATTATTTTTATTGTTTTTTTCTAACAGTTACTTTATCGGGATTGGTTTGTTAGTTTGTTTATTTATTTGGAAGAATTAAGATAATTTATTTTACTTGTTTTTTATTATTTATTTATTATACTGTATATTTTTATTTACTCTTTTCGATTTTTAAGTTACGTATTTTTTATCGTTTTTTTATATATATATATATATATATATATATATATATATATATATAATTATTACTATCAGTATTGTGCCCTCTTTTGAATTAATGCTGTGAACATATATTATTTTTATTCTCATTACATTCGGATATATTATTATTTTCTTTTTAAAAATATGATTCCATCACAACACAGAAAATTTCCATGTTTCAAAGTCTCGTTCCATTGTCAAGCGATGTTAGGAATAAACTTTGAAAGAAATTTGCTTAATTTATAAGTGCAGACAATATTGATATTATGAGTTGTTAAGGAAAGTCTATTTTAATTTAGGGGTGACTGAGTTTTAATTTCCCTAGACAGCTTATGTATCCAATATATGTTACTTACAAAGTCAGGTTAAGATTGGTGGGGGTGGGGGGTTAGTTTAGCTCTGTCTGCTAACAAAATGTATACTTCCGTATATTTAGTGAGTCGTCTGGGTTTACAATGATTTAAAAAAATTTAGTCATTTTCATTTATCCACTTAATTCATATTTTTATACACAAAGAGTTTGTTCTACTGTTTATATTGAGCACCTTTTTTTTTTTTTCTTAAAATAAAAGTAACTGCTAAAGAACACTGGATTATAAATCTTACTGTTTTTTCTTATTATTTTAATGTGTGTATGTATACGGGTGTGTAATATATATATATATATGTGTGTGTGTATTATGTTGTATTTAATGCAACTGAATATGCAAAAACTTAAACATTTTTAATCTTTTTTTTTTGTGTTATTGCTTTAATATGGTTTAGAGTTTCTTTTGTCAACCTTTTTAATAATACATCAAAACAGGAATTTTCTGTTTACATGTTATCATATTAGTCTTATACGAACTTATCTTGGTTGGTCTTTTGGTTGACCTCATGGCATTTTGTTTAGGGCTTGAGGTTAAGGTTCAAAATTTATCTCTGTGTATTATCTCTATGGAAATATTTTTTTTTTTATTTTTGAAACTTTTTTGTCTAACAGTCACTTTGTGAGGCCCTACACAAGGGAGACATGTTTTCCATATAGGCTGCAGGAGGAGGGCTTGTCACCAGCTGTTGCCCTGACCTTGTGAATCTACCTTTTTTTTTTTTTTTTTTGATTGGTTCTATAAGGAAGAATGAAAAGGTTCTCATAAATTGGAAAACTTTTAACCTTTGTCTCTGAAAAAAAAAACTGTTAAAAAAGATGTTTTTTTTTTTTCCCTTGACACCACTGTTATTTTTGCCTACATTCACCTCTCGACAATACTTATTGTTTTAAAAAGCAATGATTAAGTTTTAATAAAACCCAAACACACAAATGTAAATTTATATATTTTCTTTGCTCTTAAGAACTAACAACAAAATATTAAACACCATTTATTTAATTGTTTATTTACAAGAATGATTTTCTATTTACAACATTCTAAAAATATGAACCAACTAATGCAATCCAATCCAATCAATATTTATCATTGACCAATTTATAAAGAAATAAAATATTAAAACAATTTTTTTTTATTCATAAATTTATAAACATTTACTAAATTATTAAAATATATAATTTAGAATATATAAGTACCAGAAAATCCTTATTTCCCAATTTATAAAGTTTGAATCAATTGGCAATTAGCCAATGTTTTGCCAACAATTTTAAAGAGAACAATTCACGAAGTTCTTTCGTCAAGGTGCTTAATGTCTACTCTTCACTTTAGATCTGCAGCTAGAAAAGATGGCTCACAGTGTTGTGCTAGACAGTTTTTTTCACCAGAAGCTAGTTTGCAAATTTATAAGTTTACCATTTGTTCATGCATTGAATATTGAAGCTACATTTGATCTGGAACTTCTGCTATATATCAAGAAATTCTTGTTAAAATCCAAAAAAGAATCTGAAGCATTATTGGTCTTAAGTTGACATCTCAACTTTCACACCATTGTAATGTGGCTTCCTTGTACATTTTCTATAAATATTTTTACAGAAATTGTTCTGATGAGCTATGGTACC